AAGCAAATTCTAGCTTGAAGAATCACTTTGCACAAAATATCACAAGAGTAATGGCCAAATAAAAACAGCTAGTGATAGCTTCAAAACTAAATACGTACTACATTAGCGAATGCAAAATGTGTGAACCTTGAGAAACCTTCATTTTTAACGGTCAATGACGTCACTTTATGATCGATCGAGTTACGTTATTTGTTACCTAATATTTGAATACAGACTACGGAGTACTACGGGTAATTCCCTAACTAAGACTAAAACATAACTAAAATGCAAAAATAGGAGTCTAATGTTTCATATGCTCTAATAGGAGCAAAAATAAATGGATCGCTAATAATACCCTTAATGAAATGTCTGTTTCCTACATTAAAAATGTAAAAGAGTAATAATGCGGAGTAATAGCGTTGCACGCAGTAGTGGTGCGTGATGGGTTGTAGACAGCTGTGTGTGACTACCACTGCAACAGGTCACGTCACCATCCTTAGTCGGAACCAACCGCTGCCGCTGCCAGACGTCAGCATCGTCGCTGCCAGACGTCACCATCGCCGCTGCCAGACGTCGCCGCCGCCGCCACCGTGCCTGTGCTGCCAAATATCGTCGCCACCGTGTCGGTGTCTCTACCTGCCCTGTGCCATGTTAGTTCCATCAAACAGCTTTGCCGCCAACAGGGACAGAGGTGTGTGTATGAGTAGGGGGCCATGACCCCTCCCAACCTTTTTATTTTTTAGTAGTATTAGTATTACATACTATGTATAAAATAAGGAAAAAACGATTGGGTCAAAATTACGAGATAGAAGCTTACATTTGAGATGCTTTCGGATAAAAAATTTTGATGAAATTTTGTGAACATGTATTTCTTGAAGTGTAGATTATATCCACCGAATTTCAGCTTATATTTCAATCGGGAAGTCTATTAAATAAATTATGAAAAAATACTGCATTTTTTATTTATTTTTTGACGCAGTGTTCTCAATCATTTATTTAATCGACTCGTCGATTGAGTTTTAAACCGAAATTTGATTTGAATAATCTACATATCATGAAGAACATTGTCACCAAATTTCATCAAAAAAATTCCACCCGGAAGCACCACAAACGCATGCATTCAGCCAGTGGATCCCTTCAGGTAATTTTGACAGGATCAATCCTCATGAAATAATTACATACTACGTATATATGATTAAAAATATGACAAAATATGTTTTACTCCTCAAATAGATCTTATTTAGTTCTATTAAAAATAATTTGATTAGAGTTTGCCAAAATATGAATGAATAAGACCTATTTTGAGAATAAAACAATGATCTAAATTCCCGGATTAACCTCCAACGCGGCTGACCATCGAAACAAACAAGACCAGGAGGAAGAATGGAAGAAAAATAGAAAGAAAATATAGAATGTTTAGGCGTAGCAGAGAACAAGGAGATAAAGAAATTGAACGGAATAACCGAAGAAGAAAGGAAAGAAAATAGGTTAAAGGGTCAAATAGGCCCTTGAACTGATGTAAAGTGTTCAATTAGCCCCTTATATAGGAGGTTCTGCCTGGCCGTCGCCAATTGGATCGGTTCCCGGTGGAATTTTTTGATGAAATTTTTTGAGCATCTTCTTCATTAAGTCTAGTTTACTCATACCAAATTTCGGTTTAAAATTCAACCGGGAAGGCAGTCAAAGTATTTTTTGAAGATAACTGTGAAGTTAAACATCGAAGTACATTTCGGAAAATCATTTGACTGCCTTCCCGATTGAATTTTTAGCCGAAATTTGGTATGGGTAAACTAGACTTAATGAAGAAGATGCTCAAAAAATTTCATCAAAAAATTACACCGGGAACCACCCCAATTAGCGACGGCCGGGCAGAACCTCCTATAAAAGGGGCTAATTGAACACTTTAAGTCAGTTCAAGGGCCTATTTGACTCTTTAGCCAAGAAAATAATACGGAGTAAATTAATGTCCAAGTCAACATATACCGGTGATACCCGTTTTCAACCGGCTAAAAGTATAAATTGAACATTTTTTATAGTTGAAGGACCTAATTGGATGATATTATAGTAGAAGGACTTAATTGACTTTTTTGATATAGTACAAGGACTTATTTGACAATTTTCCCTATTTTTATTTTAGTCCTATTTAGAGATTTTTTTTTTGTTCTTTGTGTTCCTTTTTTGCCCCCGTTATGATTAAATCCTGGCTCCGCCCCTGGCCGCCAAAGCCTCCACCACCACCGCCGGATACTGTGTCACTATAACTTCGTCCGGCGCCACCCATGCCGCTTCCGGTGCCATCATCTTTGATTCCACAACAGCAAATCTCAGATCTGAAGAGAATGTTATAAAATGTCATCTCATCATTTTAGTGTCATCTTATTGATGGCATTTATAGTAAGAAATAATTACATAAATATGACTAAGATAAAGATGGTTTACAAAAATATGATTCATTACTAGAATAGTAATGAAATCATAGTAATTCATGTTCAAGTTTTGAACTTTAGTTACCACAGCACTACGTTGTAGTAATGAATAGTGATATTTATGTAAATAAATTTTATTTTAGTAATATTCTTGTAAAAATCCCTTATAGTAAAGCAAAGCATTATTTATTTTGACATCTTTTTTCATGATTTATATTTCCATTGTGATGAGTCCAGTGCCACCAAATAAATGACACTGCCACCAAATAAATGACACTGCCAGAACAATATGTTTTTAATATAAAAAATATGGCACTAAAGATATTGTATTTGGCATCCTAATGTCATAAATTGGCATTGTGCCTAAATAATTTTTCACATGGAAAATATGCCATTATATTGTCATAAATAGGAACTATGTGCTTAAATAATTTTTCACATTGAAAATATGGCATTATTAGAATTTTATTTGCAAAGATGTAATTTTTCATTTTAATATTATAAAACTTACTTTTAAATAGTGATTATGTCAATTTCAGATTCAAATCAGAAAAAAAAATTGAAATTTTACAAAAACATTTATTGAAATCAATTTAAAAATTATAATGTAAAAGATAAAATTTAAAAGAAAACAAAAGCTGAGAGAAAAATTGAAAAAGCAAAAATCGAAAAGTAAGAAAGCAAAAAAAGGACGTGAGAAAATCAAAGCAAAAATTGAAACGGATCTTGAAGGAGAAATAGTTGAAGCAAACAAAAACGGAGTTCTAATCAACCTCCAGCTTCACGCTGCTGCAAGCAAATAAAGATCTCGCCGAGTGAAATAGAAGAAGAAGAAGAAGAAGAAGGGGAAGAAGGGGATCAGAAGAAGGGGAAGAAGCTAGAAGAGGAAGATATAAACTTACCTGTGAATTTGTGATTGATTACTGGTGATAGCGAGAGTCGGGAAGACAATTTTACCATCAAACCGTGGAGGTGAGGAAATCGGTTGTCTGAGAGAAGAAGTGGGAGGAGGGAGAAAGAGATGATCGAGAACAGAGGAGCGAGACCGGAAGAGAAGATAGACCTGCGGAAAGATAAGGGGTATAATTGGAAGAAGAAACTTACTTCGTTAAAAACTCTTATTTAGAAAATAAAATACTTAAACTCCTATTTAGGAACTTGTCTTATGTTTTACTCCTATTCCAGACAATTTCCGAGTACTAAACTTAGGAGCTTGATATTTTCTTGTTTAAGAAAATAATGAAGATTTTTTTCTATGATTTAATATGAATAATACTCATTACTCAACAATATAATATCCATGATCACCATGAGGTTGTGACTGGCTAGCATTAATGTTTTATATTTTTATTAACTCTCAATAATTAATTAGTTTTAAGCTACCAAATCAATATTGGTAGTACATCAACACATTCGTATACACTACAGATTTCATTAGATACAATAAATCTTTGGGAATGAACTAATTCATTCTGAATTTCTGATCAAAATAATACATACAAATTATATAGTGAAGCATGGGAAGGAAAAGATGGGCAATTCGTTGTCCAATGGGCCGCCCGCTAAGACCATTTTGAGTGGTGAGGTAATAGGAGTCCAAAATGTTAAATGTGGAACTTTTGGACTCCTAATAGTGTGTAGTGGTGGTTTATAAGGGGTATTAAAAGTGGGAAAGGGGATGGAGGGTGTTATAAAAGCCGTCAATCCATGTGGCGGGCCGTCGGCTTTTGTGAAGCTATAGAAGAGCCGTCACTTGGAGTGACGACTTTCTTTATCTGGGGTTAACCCCGGCAGTATTTTGGGAATTATTCTTAACCTGACAGTATTTTGGAAATTATTTATTCAATTAGCATTATTCCGGGAAAAAAAACTCCATTTTTCCTTGTTTTTAAACAGCATTAGAGAAAATAAAACCTTCCAATTAAGCCATAATGACTGTATTGATTGAGAATGTGATAATTTCATGGCCAAATCTAAGAGCATCTTCAATGCTATAATATCCACGGTACACATGTGGCATGAGTGATAGCCACATAATTATTAGCAAATAAATTATTTCTCTCCTTATTTGAATGATTTTATACAATTTTGGTAAGTTTTTCCCTGCAATGTCAACAACAATGTCAACATTAGACGGTCTCCTTGACATTGTAGAGAAAAACTTACCAAAACTGTATAAAATCATTCAAATAAAGAGAGAAATAATTTATTTACTAATATTTATGTGGTCATCTCTCATGCCACGTGTGCACCGTGCACATTGTACCATTGAAGATGCTCTAACATACACTTCGCCAAACCACGCCATTTTCTTTTTCTATAGTACTCGTAATCACTATATTTGCGAGATTAAAATTTTAAACTCATCCATTAATCTGCTTCTTCATTTGGTCCATTAAGATGGTGAATTAAACACTATTGCTATCTAATAAAGAGTTTGGAAAAACGGTAAGGCTTAAAAAACAAACAAAAACAATTTATCCTTTCTTGCCAATGGTATAGGGTGCGAAGAACTGATAAATGGAGAGACAGATTACATAGATTAGAGACCGGCCACTCTAAAAATTGTTACCAAAGAAATTTAGAAAAGAATATGCTTCTCAGAATAATTTGCAAATGAAAATAAGATTTATGCATACTCAAGATCAGAACAATCACCAATTAATATGGTCACATAAAACAACTATGTATACAAGCCTTGCTATACAGCATATAAAGAAATACTCATAATTAAGCTTGTACGGTACATGGAAGAATTGTCTTTTTGATGAAATTTTTTACCAACTAAATGATGATCATCTATTTTTCAAATGTAAATATACAATATATTGATTTCAAAAATGGAATACTGGCTCTCCAACGATGCCATCCAAAGCACGTATCTCTACCTCCATTCCATTTGTTAATTGCTTCATCTAGAGCACATTTCAACAATTCCTTCAAATTATTCCCGCTGATATTTTCTATTTTAATCTAGGTTTGCTATATGAAATTGCTTTCTAATTTTCATTATATTTTAATACTAGGAATCATGTTTAACTGAGAACATAACCTCTCAATTATGCAAGTATAAAACAACATGAGAGTAGAATATGGATTGCTATTTCCTTTGAAAGAAATGAAAAGGGATATTAAATGTTGTTTTATGGAACTTTCTAATTATGCCTATGTGAGGTTTGATAAAATGTTTAGGCTTTTTTTCTTCTTTTTTAAAAAACAGCCGTGAAAACTTTCCAATTGAACCACATTCACTATATTGGTTGGAAATGTGATAGTTTAGTGGCAAAATCTAGCATACACTACGACTTTAATTTATTCAGTCATCATGCACAGAATTGAGCAGCTCCAAAAATTAGGAGACAGCCCACCACTCCAGCTGTGAAGAAGCACTAGAGGACAAAAGACAGATAATAACATACAAGATGCCAACGGCAGGAACGCCGGCGGTCACCACTGCCACCGGCGGGCATGAACCTCCTAACCCTCTAGGGGAAACGCAGCGAACCTCGACTATGATTTATCCCCTTGAGGACAAGGGTACGGAAAAGGGTACGCGCAATTTCGCTGCAACAACACCCCCAATCATCTTATGAAATCATGTTCGAAGCTGATACAGTTGCAAATTCCCAGCTGGATTCTCAACAGAAACTTTATGATTGTAGTACTAAACCACCCTCTATGGTAAAACACATGCCCCCTGCTCCACATAAATCTCCAAATTCATCAACATGGGGTTCTGGTGGCAGAAAACTATTTCTGAAATGCTTCAAGACCATAAATGGTACATGGGGGAATCAGATTCAGAAGATGGTCTACCTAAAGATGATGAGGAATAAGATGATTTGTTTGAGGAGGGAGACCCGAAGTGCCCCAATATTCACTTCATAGCTCAACGGAAACAAAAATATCGAAAGGAGTACCATCAGGAAGTAGTAATCAAAGTTTTAGGGAGATCCTTCCCGTTCCCAATCCTAGCACGAAGATTAGAAATGATTTGGGTCAAAGGAGGCATTCTGCAAATTTCTAATCTAAGTACTTGTGGCTACTACCTTGTGAGGTTCACAACAAAGGGGGACTATGTTAATGCAATTTCAGGTGGACCTTGGATGATTGGGGAGCATTACATTACCCTCCATCAGTGGAGGAAGGGTTTGAACCTAAGAAACAACAAGATTCTGACTACAGTGGCATGGGTTCGGTTCCCAGGTTTCCCCATTGAATTTTTTCATCCTGAAGCAATTGAGCGAATTACAAATAAAATTGGCAAACCAGTGCCGGTAGATCAGGCGACTAAAATAGGGGCTCGAGGAACATATGCACGGATAAGGGTTATTAGAGTTTAGGCAAAAGATAGTGTTGAGGAATTAAAACAACTTGTATTGAATCCAGTCATACAAAGTGTTTATATAGTTGACTAGTTATAACCGACTAATAACCATTAGTACAGACTCTAACAACAATACAACTGGAAAGTAATGTACATATAACTTTGTATACTATTCCTAACATTCCCCCTTCAAACTGAGTGTGATTGCTTTGGGAAATCAATCACACTGAGTTTGTCTCTGAACTCAAGGAATGTGGAGGCAGAAAGAGGCTTGGTCAGTGCATCTGCAACTTGCTGAGAGGAAGGAATGTGGAAGACTTCAAGTTGCTTGAGTTTAACTTTCTCCCGGACAAAGAAGAGATCAATTTCTAGATGCTTGATTCTAGAGTGTAGAACAGGGTTGTGAGCTAGTTGTACTGTGCTCAGATTATCACAGTAAACTCTGGGAGTAACAAAAGGAGCTTGAAGTTCTCTGAGTAGGTATTGAATCCACAAGATTTCAGAAGTAGTATCAGCAAGGCTTCTATATTCAGCTTCAGCTAAAGATCTGGCCACCCTCAGTTGTTTTCTTGACCACCAGGATATGATGTTGGGTCCTAGAAATATGCATGACCCTGATGTGGATTTTCTATCTGTGGGATCAGATGCCCAGTCAGCATCACAAAATGCTGAAACTGGCAAGGACATAGTGGATAGAGGTAGAGGTTTGATGACTAGACCATAGGTAATGGTGCCAGAAAGATACCTCAAAATGTGCTTTACGGCCTTCCAATGTTGTTGTAATGGTGAAGCCATAAATTGGCATACTTTGTTCACAGAATAGCTTAGTTCAGGCCTGGTTAATGTAGCATATTGCAGAACTCCCACAACAGATCTGTAGTAGGATGGGTCAGGAAGAGAATCACTTCCTTCACTGGTAAGTTTGCAGCTACTTACCATAGGTGTTTTCACCCCTTTGGAATCAGACATTCCAACTTTGTGTAGCAGGTCTCTAATATACTTTGCTTGTGATAGATGTAGACCACCACCAGGAAGTTTTCTAACTTCAATGCCTAAGAAGAAATCAATGTCACCCAGATTCTTTAAGGAAAAAGAGGAGTTCAATTTTTGTATAATCTGCTGAATCACTGTAGAGTTGTTTCCAATTACTAAGATATCATCAACATAGATTAGAATATAGATCTGTGTGTCAGAGGTTAAGAGAATGAGAAGTGAAGGATCACACTTGCTTTGCTTGAACCCAGCTTGGTATAGGACAGATGTGAGCTTCTGAAACCAAGCCCTTGGGGCTTGTTTGAGACCATACAAGGATTTGTGTAATTTGCAGACTAGAGAAGAGTTTTTGTCCTGAAAACCTGGAGGTTGTGTCATGTACACCTCTTCCTCAAGATCCCCATTGAGAAAGGCATTGTTGACATCGATCTGTTGTATGGACCAATTATGAGACACTGCCAAAGTGAGAAGAACTCTGATAGTTATTGGTTTGACTACTGGAGAAAAGGATTCTCCAAAATCAAAACCAAATTTCTGATGAAACCCTTTGGCTACCAACCTGGCCTTGAATTTGTTGACAGATCCATCTGAATTTTCTTTTATTCTGAACACCCACTTGCAGCCTACAGCCTGTTTTCCTAGAGGAAGGGAGACTAAAGACCAAGTTTTGTTAGTCATTAAAGCATCATATTCAGCTTGCATTGCTGCAAGCCAAGGAGGAGAGGAGAGAGCTTGCTTAACTGAGTTGGGCTCAGTATGAGCTAATAGTAAGGTTGGATTAAGTTTTGGTTTAACAATCCCTGACTTAGACCTTGTTTGCATAGGATGAGTGTTGATTAATGGAATTGAGGGTGAGGAGGAAGAAGAAGAGTTATTATTGACATTGATTTGGGAATTGGGAGGAGGTGAAGACTCAGGTTGATGAGGACTGTGAGGGTGAGTTGATGAGAAAGAACTGTCATTGGTATTGTTTTGAGCATTTAGAAGAGGTTGAGACTGAGATTGATTGAAAGTGTGAGGCTGGGTTGATGATGATGATGAATTGGATGGTGTATTATGAGATGGGTTGGAGGATGTGCCAGATAAATGGATACCATTGGTGGTGTTGGTTATTGATGAGGGTTGAAATATTGTGATAGGTACAGATGATTGAACTGGGACACTATGAGTTGGAGTAGATTTAGTGGAAAAAAGAGTAGAATAGGGAAATTTGGTTTCATCAAAGATGACATCCCTAGAAATATAGATTTTGCCACAGGGAGAGAGACATTTGTAACCTTTGTGATGTGAAGAGTAGCCTAAAAACACACATTCTGAGGAGTGGTAGTCAAATTTGTGTTTGTTGTATGGGCGTATGAAGGGGTAACAGGAACATCCAAAAACCTTGAGGAAAGAATAATCAGGAACAAACCCATACAATTTGAAGTAATGGCTGAGATTAGCAATAGATTTGGAAGGGGTTCTGTTGGTTAGATGAACAGCGGTAGCAAAGGCAGCATCCCAGAATTTTTGGGGTAGAGATGAATGGGAAAGAAGACACAGTCCTTTTTCAACAATGGTCCTGTGTTTCCTCTCTACAACACCATTTTGATGGTGTGTATGAGGACAAATAATTCTGTGAGTAATGCCTTTTTCATTTAGAAATTGAGTGAAGGATCTGAATTCACCTCCCCAGTCAAATTGAATTGATTTGATAGAGACATGAAACTGATTTAACACATATTGATAAAAGTTCTGAAAGGCAAGGAAAGCATCTGATTTCTTTTTGAGGAAATATATCCAGGTGTACTTAGTGAAAGCATCAATAAAGGAGATATAATAAGAATAACCATCAAATGACACCATGGGAGCTGGTCCCCACAAATCAGTGAATATTAACTCAAATGGGGAGTGATATACAGTAGTAGAAGGATAAGATGGGAGTCTATGAGCTTTGCCCATAAAACAGGCAGAACATAAATCAACAACACTTTTATTTATATGAGGAACATTACAAAGATTGAGTACAGACTTAAGGGCCTCAAAATGAGGATGTCCTAGTCTTAAATGCCAAACATTACAAGATGAACTAGACTGAGAGTTATTACATTGAGACATAAAGGAACTAGGAAATTTAGAAGTAACAAATGAAGTCTTGAGGTTGTTGGCAAATGACTTGTAGGATCCAAGTGCTGGAAATGAATGAAACCTATAGAGACCATCTTTTCCCAGAGTTCCATATAGCAAGAGCTGTTTAGAATCCTGGGATTTAACAAAACACTCATAAGGATGAAACTCAAAGAATGCATTATTATCTTTTGCAAACTGACTGACACTTAGAAGGTTCTTGGTTATGGCAGGCACATGTAAAATATTGTTAAGATGCAAGGAAAGAGAAGATTGATAAGGAGAAGAAAAGGATGAAAAACCAATTGACTTAATATCCAAACCTTGACCATTGCCCATAAAGAGCTTGTCAGTTGTTGCAATGGGCTCACTGTGTTACTAGTTGAGAGGATCAGCAGTAATGTGATGTGTGGCCCCTGAATCTGGGAACCAGTTTTGAGTGTAGGGAGGTGGTCCTAGCACAGAAGAGTTTGCACACGCCCAAGCAGCAGTAGGAGCAGTTGAGTTTGGATTTTGATTGTTGTAAGGAAAGGCAGTTGATCCCCAATTGCCTGCTGGTGATGAAACAATGGGAAAATTAGGAGAATATCTTGGTCATGCAGGTTGATGGGATTGGAATGATTGGTTATGATTTGGATATTGATTTGGCATGGAGAAGAAGTTTTGCTGAGATTGTTGTGTTGAATTTGGATATTGTTGATTTGCTGAATAAGGTTGAAATTGGTTTGAAGAGTTAGGGTTTGTAGTATATGCAGGATTGTACCTGTGGTAACATACAAGTGCATTGTGGCCATTTTTACCACAGACCTGACAAGTAATAGGGTTGCGGCCTCCATTGCGACCACCTCTTCCTCTGTTGAAGCCTCCCTACCTCTGCCTCTGTAGGCAGAAGGTGCACTAGAATTTTCAAATTGAGCTACCTGAGCAGAGTGATTCTCTGAAGATGCCTGAGTTCCAGTGTTGTTTTCAGAAGAGATTTCAAGGCGAGCAACATTGGCTGAGAGTAGTGTTTGCTGTGAAGTGTCTCGAAGTTTTCTTAGTCGTTGTTCCTTAGCCAATAGAAGACCTTCCAGTTCTGAGAGAGAAACTGGATCCAGAGTGCTGCGAGAAGTAACAGATGAAACTAACGACTCGTAGTCTTCAGGAAGTCCTTCAAGTATGACATTGATATGATCCTTAATGGAGATTGGTTCGTTGATGGACATTAGGTTATCCACTATGGTCTGAATCCGAAGCAGATAGTCAGAGATAGATCGATCACCCTTACCAGTATTGTAAAGCCCGGATTTCAATTGTCAAGCCTTTGCAACAACAGTAGCTTGAAAGAACTTTTGAATTTCGCTCCATAGCTGATGTGAATGTCTGCAACTAATTACGCGAGCATGTAGTGAGTCAGAAAGCGACGCTAGAAGCCAGGAGAATAACATTTGATCTTGTTGCTCCCAGATGCTATAGGCTTCGTTGATCGTTTTCGTCTGTCCATCATTTCCGACGATATATTGTTCTGGTATTTGGGGTTTTTCGATGAATTTGTATAGTTTATGTGCTCGAATCACAGATTCAACATGATGACGCCAGAACAGAAAATTATTGGAGTCAAGTTTGATTGGCAGGGGATGATTGAAAATTACTGGAGAAATTTGTGAGGATGAAGATTGCGATGAATCGGAAGTTGAGATCGTCATGGCTGGAACGAGAGAAGCTCTGATACCATATTAGAGTTTAGGCAAAAGATAGAGTTGAGGAATTAAAACAACTTGTATTGAATCCAGTCATACAAAGTGTTTATATAGTTGACTAGTTATAACCGACTAACAACCATTAGTACAGACTCTAACAACAATACAACTGGAAAGTAATGTACATATAACTTTGTATACTATTCCTAACAAGGGTGGATGTTGACTTAACTAAACCACTATTATCTCAATACAAGGTGGAAGGCATCACATGTGATATTACATATGAAGGCCTACA